TCTTTCTCTGGTGAACTAGGTGGCCTCCATTTAGAGGGTCTTTGGCTAAGCTTATTTTAAACAGCTGATAAACTCTTACATCAGATAAGATGTTTTAAAAGCTGATAAATGTTACATCTTGTTTTTATGATTAATTTTTAGGGTGTTTGGATAATGAGCTTAGATCCTATTTTTATTCGTTATAAGATCTTAAAAAACAAAGGTGGGATTGATGTATTTTTTTAAAAAGATCTTATTTACTCTCCAATAACTTATTTTAGAAAAAAATAAGATCTTTTTTTAGAAAAATACCAAACACTTTGGAAGAGCTTATAAGCTCCTTTTAACTTCTTATAAGCTTAACCAAACACCCTCTTAATCAAGTAGTAGGAATTTTTGGAGCCAAACAACTAAGAGAATAACCCTCAAATATGAACGAAATCATGACGAAAAATGAAAAAAAAAAAAGAAAAAAAAGTAAAAAAGAAAAAAGAAGAAAGGAAAAAAGAAAAAGAAAAAGAAAAAAGCAAATTGAATTGGCAAAGAAAGGGAAAAAAAAAGGAAGCAATACTAATTTATCAACCACTACCAACCAGAAAAGAAAAAGCACCAACAGATTGATGCGTAGATCTGCGACCTGTGGCCGCTGCCCTTGACGCGGATGCACATGTCGACTCCGGCGAACGATGGAGGTAGAGGAGGAGGAAGGGCCCAAAACGCCTTGTATCGGAAGATTTCCGCCTGTCTCGTTTGGGGTTGGTGGGGGTGGAGCCGGTTAATAAGAAATAAATTAATTTAAAATTTGAAAAATATTCGTATTTTACATTCAACACAAATTTATGCACATGGATTGTACTTTGAAAACTGCTTGAAGTATCACCGATTTCTTGCATATTTGTTTGTACGTACACAAAAATGTCCAAAATTTAATAATGGAAAATTTAAGTATCACCATTGCTCTATAACATTTAATTTTTGTTATATACACAAAAATATATTTGAAATTTAAAACTTGAAAATTGAAGCATCACCGATTGATGTATACTGATTGATAATCTTGTTATTGTGGGTGAAATTTGCTTACGATAAATGTTTATTAAGCAATAAAATTTTATACTGGTTTTTCATGTTAGTTGGAAGATCATTTTCCTAATACTTTTGTTGGCGCCAGATTGCTCAAAGAGGGAGACTTGAAGAAATCCGTGGCCTTGTTGCTCATGATTGGCAAATATTTTCCTTGTATTTTCCCTTGTAGTCTTTTACTCAATACACAATATAGGAGAAATAGAGTTGGAGAAAGAGAGAATTATGTATGTCACGTATATTAATCATATATATAGTTAATATATATAGTTATATGTAGGAAACCTAACCTATTACACAAGGTAACTATAATAAATAATAATAATAATATATACGTATATATACGCTAATACACCCCCGCAGTCGAAACGGGAAAGGAGAGGACGTGGAAACTGGAGACAAACTATTGGAACAGTTGAGTAGGGAGTCCTTTCGTGAATATATCGGCAAACTGGTAGGCAGATGGGACGTGAAGAACTCGAACGTGTCCCAAAGCAACTTTGACTCGGACAAAATAAATATCGATCTCCACATGTTTCGTACGAGAGTGTTGACTAGGATTGCTGGATAGGTAGACGGCACTGACGTTGTCACAGTAGACAATGGTGGCTTTCGAAAGTGGGAAGAGCAACTCAGAAAGTACGTTGCGTAACCAAGTCGTTTCGGCGACGGCGTTTGCGACAACTCGATATTCAGCCTCCGCACTAGATCGAGAAGTAGTGACCTGTCGTTTGGAGGACCAAGAGATGAGGTTGTTGCCGAGTAAAACGCAATAGCCCGATGTCGAACGACGAGTGTCAGGACAACCACCCCAATCGGCGTCGGAATAAGCGATAAGAGAGAGGTCCGGATTGGGGGAGAGGAGAAGGCCGTGGTCGAGAGTGCCACGAATGTAGCGAAGGATACGCTTGAGAGCAGCCATATGAGGTTCCCTCGGATCATGCATGAACAAACATATTTGTTGCACAACATAGCAAATGTCGGGACGAGTAAACGTGAGGTATTGCAGTGCACCGGCAAGGCTGCGATAGAGAATAGGGTTAGCAACGGAGGGTCCAGTGGTCGAAGACAGCTTGCTCTTTGTGTCAGCCGGCGTAAGACAAGGGTTGCAGGAAGCCATGTGTGCACGCTCTAATATCTCGTCGGCGTACTTGCGTTGAGAGAGAAATAGCCCATTCAACGAGCGAGTAACTGAGATGCCGAGAAAGTAGTGAAGATAGCCAAGATCCTTCATTGCGGACTCCTGATTAAGTGCAGCGATGATAGAGCGGAGCAATTCAGGTGTGGAGGCCGTAAGTACAATGTCATCGACATACAGTAGAAGGTAGGCGTATGAACTGTTGCGACCGTCGCGTGAACTGTTGTGACAGTCGCGTGAACTGTTGCGACAGTACACAAAGAGTGAAGTGTCGGACTTGCATTCTCTGAACCCCATGGTAGTAATGTGAGAGGCAAAATGCTTATACCAAGCACGGGGTGCCTGCTTAAGACCGTAGAGTGCTTTATTGAGACGACACACTTGAGTGGGGCGAGATGGATCGACGAATCCGGGAGGTTGCTCGCAGTAGACAGTTTCGGAGAGATTGCCGTGTAAGAAGGCATCTTTCACATCAAGTTGGTGGATTGTCCATGATCGTGAGAGAGCAATACTAAGAACTGTTCGAACAGTGGCTGGTTTGACTACTGGGCTAAAAGTTTCGTCAAAAACGATGCCAGCCTGCTGGTGAAAACCGCGAACAACCCACCGTGCTTTGTATCGCTCAAGGGAGCCATCAGACTTGAGTTTCTGTTTGTATATCCACTTACCAGAAATAACATTAGTGAACGGGGGGCGGGGCACAACATTCCAAGTATTATTTTTAATTAAAGCAGTATATTCCTCAATCATGGCGTTGCGCCAATTTCGGTCAAGAAGAGCTTGGCGATAGTTGGTGGGAATGGAAGAGGTAGAGGACGCAACTAGAGAGAAGGGGACTTTGGGTTTGTGGATGCCCGCTTTACTGCGAGTCACCATAGGATGAGAGGGGGGTGGGGAAGGTGTGGGGGTATGGGAAGGAGATGTGGGAGGAGGAGAAGGGGATGTGGGAGTAGGAGAAGGGATTGTGAGGTGGTTGTGGTCGAGAGGAGGTGCTGCAGGTGAAACAGGTGTTGGTTGTGTGGTAGGACTGTTGGACGAACTGTTGGAACAGGGTGGTTCACTGTTGGAACAGTTGGATGAACTGTTGCAACAGTTAGACGAAGTCTGAGGGAGGAGGACCAAGGAGGTTGTGTTTTCGTCCAAGGCAGAGGTAGGAAGTGTGTTTGTGGGGGGAGTTGACTCAGCACAAGGAAAGTGAGTTTCGTCGAAGGTAACATGACGAGAAATTATGATTCTGCCAATGGATCTATCAAGGCAACGATAGCCTTTGTGAGAGGAAGGGTGACCGAGATAGACACAAGGAGTAGAACGGGGGCGAGTTTATGTGGTGTGGTGGCGGTGAGGTTGGGATAACAGAGACAGCCGAATACTCGAAGATGAGAGTATGTAGGTTTGGTGAGGTAAAGAGCTTCGTGAGGGGTCCGATTTTGTGTGGTTTTGGTAGGTAAGATATTGAGTAGGTGGGTGGCCATATGAAGGGCTTCGACCCAATAAGTAGGAGGGAGATGAGCTTGAAAGATGAGAGCTCGAATCATGTTGGTTATAGTGCTGATAATTCGTTCTGCGTGTCCGTTTTGAGGGGAGGTGTGGGGACACGAAAAACGATTTAGGATGCCGTGTTTAGTGAAGTAGTTTTGAAAATCCGCATTTTTTAATTCACGGCCATTATCACTTGGTAAGGCTTTTAGGTGATGTTGGAATTGAGTTTTTAGAACTTTATGAAAATTGACAAAGTTTGTAAAAACATCAGATTCCTTGCGAAGAGGAAAAGTCCATAAATAATGGCTAAAATCATCAACTAACACAAGATAGTATTTGAAACCCGTAAGACTACAGACAGGAGAAGTCCATAAATCAACAAATAATTTGAAATGGAGCAACAGTAGTAGATTTTTTAGAATAGAATGGTAGACGAAAATGTTTGCAAGTTGACATGCATGACAAAGAGACTCCCTGGGGTCTTTATTATGAGAAAGAAAATTGCTAGAAAATAAACGGGACATGACGTGTTTGCCGGGATGGCCTAGACGCCGATGCCAAAAAGTTTGAGACGAAGGTGTTGAGACAGTGAGGAAAGCAACGCGAGGTGAGGTGGGAGGAGGGACACTAAATGGATATAGGTCACCGGAGCTATTCCACCTGAAAATCTCGACTCGACTCCGAAGATCCTTCACAGAAAAACCAAAAGGGTCAAATTCAATTGAACATGAATTATCGCGGGTGAACTTTCAAACAGAGATAAGGTGTTTGATTATATTGGGTGTCACATAGACATTTGTGAGACGAAAAAGAGTGGTGGGATGAATTTTGTGGCCTATGTAGGTGATGGGTAGGGTGGAACCATTACCAACGACGACATGTTTGGGAAATTACTGTTAGGATTATAAACAAAATTGAAATTACCTGAGTGTGGTGCCATATGAGAGGTCGCCGCGCTGTCCATGAACCACTGTGACTCGGTAGGCTACTGAAGTGTCACCGTATTCAAACGATTTGCGAGATCCACCACGTTGGCACTGTTGCATGAACTGTTGCAACAGTTGATGGAACTGTTGGAGGTGTGGCATGGCTGCTTGTGCGGATGAACCTGAGTAGGGGCCGAGTGGCCGGTGTAGGGTTCAGGTGGTCCAGTAAAGTAGGCTTGAGCCGCTGGAGTGGATGGGTGGCCCGATGTATTTGGAGCGGGTCCTAGAATTGACGGGAACGACTGTTGTCGGTAAGGTGCGCGCCAGAGTTGAGAAGCGCTATGATCACTATTGTAGCCGTAGTGCTGCATGGGGTGACGGTTAGTGCCGCGACCTCAGCGACGGTTAGATCGGCCACCCCCACGCTGATAGCGCGAAGAACCACCTCCGCGGGAACTATTGCAACTGTTGGATGGACAATTCGCGTTAGAGGCGTAGAAAACAGCAGCGGTCTGCTCAGGTTCAGCAAGTCTTGTTTCTTCCATCTGAAGAAGCGATCGAGTCTGTAGAAAAGTGGGAAGGGGATTCTGAAAGGAGCAGAGATTGGCGATGGTCCCGTAATTTTTCGGAAGGCTGTGTAGGGTTTGTAGGACGAGTTGTTTGTCGGAAATTGGATTTCCGACATCGGCCAAACTGTCCGCCGTGGTTTTGATTATTTGGCAATAATCGTGAATGGAGAGAGCGCCTTTCTTGAGGGACTTGAATTTCTCTTCAAGTTGAATGGCCCGATAATCATTATTATCGGTGAAGAGAGAAGAGATGGCGGTCCAGAGATCACTGGCGGTTGACTTTTTGGAGAGAAACATATGCTAGACAAATCATCGGAGATGGTGCCGTAGATCCAAGATTGGAGGAGATAGTCGGCACGTTGCCATTCATCGGCGGAAATTGCGTCGAGTCGAGGTTTTCCATGGAGAAGATCAGAGAGGCAGAAACGACCGACGGTAATTGTGAAAAAATAGCTCCACTTTTGATAGTTGGGATTTTTCAGATCTAGGATGACGGGGATGAGAGATTTAATATTGGAGATGGCATGAGCAAGGTGGAAAGGATTGAGAGGGGCGGTGGATGGAGCAGATGCGTCGCCGGCCATGGAGAAGGAGAGAGGCGACGGCTGAGAAGGAAGGGTGGTGGTGACGGCTAGGTTAACCTAGTGTCTGATACCATATAGGAGAAATAGAGTTGGAGAAAGAGAGAATTATGTCTCTCACGTATATTAATCATATATATATAGTTACATGTAGGAAACTCTAACCTATTACACAAGGTAACCTATTACACAAGGTTACTATAATAAATAATAATAATATATACGTAATATATACGCTAATACACTATAATATGAATTCTCGATTCACTTTCAAAGCCTTGTTAAGGGGCACCTTTTTTTTAAGCTCCATTCGTCATCACCCCCCAACTAAAAACGAAGTCCATTCACCCATCGGCATCTTCCCGAAATTTGTCGGCCGAAACCCTGGCGCATGCGCCGTCTGAAGATTTGTGACCCCAATCCAAGCGTCGAGGCGTGCGAGCGCGTCTCTCACTTTCCGCCGACCGTCTTTCTTGTATGCCCGCGCCTCTCTGTTCTGACCAAAGCTCTGTGGTCGTCGTCGCTGTTGCCGCCACGATCAACGAAGTTTTTCGAATTTCAGCCCGTTTTCGGTGACTTTTTGTGACTTTTTCTTCAATTTTTCTTGTGGATACCCTTTTGTGTGCTTGGGGTTTGGTGTTTGAATTTATTAAGTACCTTTTATTTCATTATTATGGGTGGTCCGAAAGTTGTTGAAAAGGGGCTGCAGTTCTCTAGATTTAATTCCGATGATGTCCAAAATCACGGACCACAAACTCAATAGGTCTAATTATTTCGATTGGAGTAAACCCGTTTGACTCTATTTAAGGATAACCATATGGTTGATGATCCTCCGAAAGATGAATCTAATCGAGTGGCTTCATGATGATGCTCGGTTGTTCCTACGGATAAGGAACTCTATTGATAACGAGGTAATTGGTTTAATTACCCATTGTGAATTTGTTAAGGAGTTGATGGATAATTTGGAATTCCTATATTCTGGTAAAGGAAATATTTCTTGAATTTATGAGGTTTGTAAAGCGTTTTAGTTATTTTATGGATTTCAAGCAATCTTATGAGGAACTTAATATGTTGTTACCATTTAGTTCTTATGTGAAGGTTCCACAACAACAACACGCGCAATTGGTTGTTATGAGTTTTCTAGCAGGCCTTCTGTCAGAGTTCGAGATTGCCGAGGCGCAAGTGTTATCCGGGTTTGAGATTTATTTTTACAAGAAATATTTAGTAGTGTACGTCATACATAAAATACTCTATATGTTCAGACTAGCGGTGCGCTGGTAAGTCGACACAACAATGATTTTGGACTATCATTATCAAAAAACGACGCATGAGGAGGGGGTCAAATGGTAATTACGACACTTGTACACTAGATTAAGGAGCAGTTGTGTGCCATTTTTGTCATAAGCCGGGACATATGAAGCGGAATTGTTGGAAGCTTTAGAACATGAGTCAGAAAACACATTATGTTCATGTCGCATTTGATGGGTCAATCCTTATCTGATGGGTCAATCCTTATTTTTTGAGATGAGTTCGTCAAATTTTCTCACTACTAGAAAACACTAAAGGATTCATCTGCTCCAACCATTTTCATTGCGTAGTCAAGTAAACCAAGCACATGTATTGATTCTGATGCCACAGATCACATGACAGGTAATTCTAGACCATTTTCTACTCTTCAACCACACTCGTCTACTTTTGACGTCACTCTGGTTCATCATCTTGTGTTCTTGGGTCTGGCATAGTTAACCTAACCCCCTTTCTTTTGTTATCCTATGTCATACACTTACCACAAATATCCTTTAACTTAATTTATGTAAGTCACCTTAAGTGGTGTATCTCATTTTATCCCGGTCATTGCTTATTTCAGGATCTTATGCCGAACAAGATTATTGGTAAATGACATGAATCTGGAAGTATCTACATTCTTGTCACATCTCCTTTCGAGACACATTGTAGGTTGGGTCATCCATCTCTTCCGCTGCTCAAGACATTATGTCATCAGTTTAGTAATTTGTCTTCTTTAGATTGCGAGTCGGAGTCGTATCAATTTGCTAAACACCATCGTATTAGCTATAGTCCTAGAGTCAATGAAAAGAGCTAGTTCACCTTTCGAATTAGTCCACTCTGATGTTTGGGGTCCTTGTCGTGTTGTGTCTAAAACTGGATTTCGATATTTTATTACATTTGTTGACGATTATTCTCGCATTACTTGGTTATATTTTATGAAAAAATCGTTCTGAGCTATTTCTACTTTTCTGCTTTTCATGTCGAGGTTAAAACTCAATTCCATGTTTCCATCCGTACTTTGCAAAGTGATAATGCCGAAGAATATTTGTCCACTACCTTTCAAACTTACATGCTCAAGAATGACATTCTTTATTTTCACTCCGAGAGATAGAATAGACACTTTCTTGAAACAACTTGTACCTTATTGTTCCAAATGGGTGTTGCTAAAACCTTTTGGACATATGTTATTTCAACAACATGTTTTCTGATAAATCGCATCCCCTCTTATGTACTACGTGGTGAAGCACCCTGTAAAATTCTTTTCCCCAACAACTCTTTGTTTCCTATTGTACCTAAAATGTTTGGGTATTCTTGTTTTGTTCGGGACGTTCGTCCGCATATCACATAATTAGATCCCAAGTCTTTAAAGTGTGTCTTTCTTGGGTATTCTTGTCTTCAAAAAGGTTATAGATATTTTTCCCCGTCTCTGCTGATTTTACTTTCTCGGAAGACAAACCATATTTTATGTCTTCTGATATCCCACAACAGGTGGAGAGTGATGACTTGTTAGTTTATAATATCACATCCTTTGAACCTGTCTTGGCAGTTATTCCTGCCAAACCCCATTTTGGTAAAGTCTACTTAGAAAGACAAGATCCTCCCTAGACAAATTCTCAAGTGTCAGCTCCTCCCCAGTTAGCTCTTCACGAGTCAGCTCCTCCCAGTTCAGAAAGTGCATCGAGAATATATTGCTTTCAATAATTTGAGAATTTATAGAATATTAACATAAAGGTTTATATACATATGTCATATGTTAATACAATTATCAATTAAAATATGTATGTCAAGTGAAATTATTAGTTTCCTTTAATAATAAGAACAAATAGATAAATATTTCGAGATAATTATGTGTGTCGTCCTCATACGTGTGTTGAATGGGAAGTAGAAAAAATATTCCATGCACATGATAATCCCGTCCAACTTAACTATACTATATGATGTCATGATAAAATTTGCGAATGGTTGGCATGATAATTCGTCGCCTGAGATTTTTTTCTCTCTGAAAAATGCAATATAACTTGTAATCGAAATTGTAGTCGTTCATATCGATAAACTGTCTAGGTTGTTAATAATATTATGTGTGTTACACAATATTTTTGTTGATGAATATTACTGTGCTACATAGTAATATTCATTTTTTAATATAATTGTGTTAGACAGTAACATAGAAATATTTTTTTGTTAAACAATAATATAATTAAAATTACTGTCAAACACAATAAGTAGGCCGTTATAGGCTTCAATATGAAATAATTACATATTTGGCCCCTATACTAATTACCACCTTAATGATTTCCGTTCACGATTTTAGTTCTCAAACTGACAATTTTGGTCGACCGTCAAATTTGGCTGTGTTGGACATCCAAATCCAACAGCTCTTCACTTCCAATAATTTCTTCACCAACATTTACTTCATTCAGTTGTTCCAGAGCCACATCTTCTTCAACGATGACTTTTTATTTGCCTTTTTTTTTTATTAATATCTTTAGATCCTATGAAAAATATATGTCATGTACTTGGACAAGTGGACTAATAAATTGTATGACTATTTATAACAATGATATAATGCATGACAGTAAATTACCTTTTTTTCTTTCTTCTGCTAGATTCACCATTTTCCAATTGAAAACACTCGTTAATATCCAACCAATCTATATCCTCTGGTAAATTTGGATCTTCTCTTTCCGTTATCCATTCATCATAAGATTCCATATCCGATACACAAATAGGATCATAAAACTCACCATCTTTAACCCTCTTTTGATGTCGTGCTTCAAGCCTTAGATTGTACTTCGTGAACACAAGTGCATTAAGTATTTTTTGCTCCAATCGATTTCTCCTTTTAGTATGCACCTATCAAAGAACTTATATATAAGTAAGATTTGGCTTTCAAGAATATCTTCCTACTAAGACCAAGAAATAACATGTTTGGCTAAGAATACCAATTGCAAGTTTCTGAAGTTCTGGACAAGCAGCTCCGTATGATTCCCACCATAAAGCTATCAATAGCAACCAAATAGCAATAACTTTATAAAGACTACATTTAAAATTAAAAATATTTCATGTTTGACCATTTACGTGGTTGTTTCTTATTCCTCATCTGAACAACCATGGAAATTGTTGGCGCCAGATTTCCGAGTATTGAAGATTGAGGAAATCCGCCGAGTTTTGAAATTAAAAGATTGGCAAAGATTTGTTTTCCATGTTTATTTTGGAATTTATTAGTATAATACTTCTATTAGGACTTAGATTTATTTCCATGTATTTTATTCTAGTTAGGTATCTTTTGTACTTATCTAGAATAGAAGTAGAAATCAACTAGGATTCTATTACCTAGTTAAATAGATTTCTTAGGGTTCAAGTTAGGTCTTAGGGCTTATTTTCGTGGCTATATAAGTCTCCTAGACATACAAGAACCGTGCGCATTAT